AATTAAGGAAGTTTCTGAGATTATCCCTTAGTCTCTGGTCCCACATTTGTTGCCTTCCCAGTCCAAATACTCAGCTCTACATTATCAAGTCTTTACAGAACATGGACCTATATTGCTACAGCCTGCATTGGATGCCTGCTGGTCATCCTCTTGCTATAGAACATCTGGCTTTCAACAAATGGGGCAGGGACAACCAGCATGGACATCAGTGGCTTTTGTCAATCTCAAAGTTTTGATTCAGTGTGGTGCCTCTTTATCTCAGAACATGAATTTTGTAAGTTCCTCTAGGACACATTTCCTCCCATTACAAACATGAATGCCACTCTGAGGTAGGGTCTGCCTTTGAAGTTGAGTCTTGTTTTTTTGTATGCAGCAGAAGGGTGTATTCTGTCTTCATATCCATTGTTAGCCTGTGTCTTTTTATATGTGAGGCAAGACCATTAATACTGAAGGAAATTAAGGACCATTGATTGTTAATTTTGTTTGATTTGGATTTGTTGTTGTTGGTATTGTGAGTAGATTTACCCTGATTTTTCTTTTGACTTCTGGTAAAGTGGGATTACCAATTCACTGTGTTTTTGTGAGTGTAGTTAACTTCCTTTTGTTGGAGTTTTCCTTCCAGAACTTTCTGTAGGGCTTTATTTGTGGATATGTATTGTTCAAATCTGGTTCAGGCTTCTGGGTCACTCTTATTTTGTATATGAAAAGTTATGACCATTAGTAATTCAACAGCTGCTATCCTTTCTTACACTGGACCTGTACATGAACATCATATCAGTAATGAGGCTTGGATAACGGAGGGGCTCATAGGGTCCATCTACCTGTCTTATGAACTAAGGAATCACGAGTGACCAGGAAATAATTTTTATTTAATTTTTATTTTCATTTGTATTTTTATTTTTTGAACAGGATATCACATTCAGATGTATACTTACTGGTGTACCCCTCAGGATCCATTAGTTTTAAATCCATGGCTATTTAGATGTTACTTGTTCAAATTAACAAGTCGTAAAACAAATAAAAATTAAATGAACACGTATGTAAAAGGGCCTTGAAGGAGGAGGTTTGACAATGACATGGGGAATAAAAGACAGATGTGTGTCATAAACATATATGTACTTTTCTGAAACCATTTTTAATTAATAGAAACAACCCCCCTCAAAAAAGCTTAATATTTTTTCTTTTCCAATAGAATTCTGAGACCTCCTTTTAACCCAAATTCTCTCATCAGGATCAGCTCTCAGCAGAAAGTGTTCAGCTGTCACTGAGAAATCCCTTCGTCTGTCAGTGGACACATTTGAGAACCAGTTCTCCCTGCAGCTAAGCTCTGCTACCACTGAAGACACACAGCTCTGCATTGCACTGCAGCAGACACAATGAGCAGATTCCCTGTGGGCTCAGAAACAACCTCAATGTGAGGATGCTCAGCACCAGCAGGGGGAGCTGTAGACCCAACTTTCACCAGGAAAGAAAATGTAGTAGATGAGAGAAACATCTGGAGATTGAGCAATTCCTCTGAGACTCTAAGATTTCCTGTCCTGACCGCAAATAGCTACAGAGACCATGTAATGCACGTGCTGTAGCTACTGTGACTAGACTCCAAACTTAGTATAGTAAAAATTATTTCTTAACTAATATTGCATATTCAAGTTTTAGTTATTTCAGAAAAAATTCAATTGCATACACCTAAAGAATAACAGAAAAATTCAAACCAGAACCACTGCCACCAGCAGCATCTGCTAATCTAACTGTAGCATCTTTCCACTGTAAGGAGGGGTTTCCTCAGCTGGGATATAAGACTGTGACCTGGGATCTGAGGCCTTGATGGTCCACCACAGTGTTGAGTCCTTGCAATTCAGATGGGCAAGTAAGAGCCCTTTGGCCAAGGCATTGCCCACTGCCCTGTGAAGCCCTCAGTTCAGAGGACACAGAGAAGGAGAAGATGGGCATGATTGCATAGTCTGGACTTTATTATACATTTTCATCATGTATTTTCTTGTGAATGTTTTCCCTAAAAGGAAAGATTTTTAGTCAAATTTGAAATACTAAACCCTAATATATGGCATTTGGTGACTTTGGAAAAGAGAAGAAAGTAAATTAAGACTGAGAATTTGCAAATTTAGGATCGTTAAAGTAGAGGAGAAGTAATGTTTTCACACCTTAAATATATTAATACCCTACTTGTGATTTTACACAAGGTTCCATTCAACACCCTGGGGTTGTGGCCATCTTTATTTCTTCACAGCACGTTGGACCTCAGGAGGGAGCAGCTTCCTCTCTTCCCAGTCTTATGTTTAAGGGATGAGTGTCCTTCAATGTGGTTAATGTCTGAGATGTATGTACTGCACCCATCCTATTGTTCAGATTCTCTCCAGACTGTTCATTATGTGGCTAAAACCAGATGTCCACTGTTAGATTTTTAGAATTTCAGCTTATTGCGTGTATTTGCTGATAATTTGTCATGAGGTATTGACTTTCTGTCCCCTGGCTGGATGACATTTGCACCTCACTAGTTTAGATCCCACTTCTGGTAGCAGAATTTACTCATCAACTAAATGCATGTTTGGTTGTTGCTCTATTCTCTGCATATCTTGAATGCTACTACTCACATCATCAAGATATAACACATGCTCCTCACAGGAATCACATAACAGTACCATCATTTTCCTTCCAAGTGTTTGAGCAATTTGAAGGATGAATTGGTAGATAAGTTTATCAAACACATGTTCTCTCTATAGTGTTTTTCACCTCATATATTACTGTGACGGACAGGAAGACCAAGACATGCCCCCAGCACTGATCCTAAGTATAATAAACAGACTCTCATGTTGACTCTATTTGAGTTCTGTAATTTTGAATGTTATGATGTCATACAAAGAAATGGTCTGAGTACATGAGTTACTCTGATACAGTTTTACAGTAATATTTTCTAAGTTTTTAAAGCCTTTATTGGCAGGGAGAGTTAATCTACATTAACATAAGGTTTTGTTGAATTAAGTTCCTGCATTTTAATTTTTGTACTGCATATTCCAACCAGTCCTCATATATATATATATATATGTATATATATATTTACAAGCATATGTAAATATATATGTACATGCATACATACACACATGCACACGGTCACACTCTCGCACACACGCATATATATATATATACATATATATATATATGCATATGTAGCCTTGGAACTAGAAGTACTTCTGGTATTTCTGAAAAATTTAGAAAAAATTCTATTTCCCCTGCAGCCCATATCACAGAATTAAGACAGAACACAAGAGTTTTGTGTCCTGCATGAACAAGGCATCTGAAACACAACATCAGTATTCCTGGTTAGAAATGAAATTCTCTGTTCAGAAGAGCCTGTTGCCTGCCTTCCCTACATCCAGGAACCAGGGTTCCTTGTATTTCTGACCCTCTAGCCCCTTCCGTCACACTTGATGACTTCTCCTTTGTATCATCCGTTCCAGGATAGTTTCCTTGTGATGAGGATATGTGTGATGATTTTGGAATCTCGTGGAGAGAATGTCAGATATGCTCCAATTTTGAGGTACATAATTTAATCATAGTCCAATAATCGGTTTAATATTGATCAAGCTCTGGACAGGTAAGTCAGGTGTCAGTGCAGCTCTTACAGCCCATCCTGATCTAAGGGTTCAGTGCCTCACTGGCCCTCAGCATTCAGCTGGGTCTCTACCTTAGTATTATGATCATGGATCATGGTTTGGATGAATCTTGACATATTTATCTTCCAAAGGTTTTAAAACATGAAGATGTTTTATGCATAAACATGACGGTTTTGTGTAGCTATTTTTAATGAAATCAGGAGTTCACTCAAACTTCTTTTCCTATACTCAATATCGATCACACCGATGTATTAGTTGATCAGTGTGTAAGTATACAACACTGTACAAGTTTGTCAAAGTCAGTCAAATCCCAAACATCTCTTTGATGTTTTAAAATACATCAAAATTTATAAGAAAAAATACTTTAACATCTCTGATAGCTGTGAGGAAAATTCCGAGGGCCCGTGATCCCCTACTTCCAACATCCTCTGTCCACTGTACTGTCTCTTGGAATGTCTGAAAATATTGACTAAACCACTTCACTCTGCTTAGAGTTTATGTTTTCTACTGTTCTTGACACCCCTGTTTTATGTTGTATTCTGCAGACAGTTTCACTTGTAAGTTGTTAGGAATTTACACACATAGCTCTTTGTGCCAATTCAATACCTGAAAACTACGTAGAGTCTCACATAATTTCTGTGTATCAGAGATGGTCTTAATTAATACAGTTATCACAGGTCACATTGCTTTTCCTAAAGGTGATATAAGTTCCTTATTCTTTCCCAATGAACATTCCCTTTGTGTCTCACATATAAACATGTCTTCTTGATGTAGTCGTCTGCTAACATAAATGGAGTTTATTCCAAAAGTTATTGTAGACAGTGTTGCAATAAACATCAGTGTGCAAATATTTCTGAGGATTTTCCCTTTTGGTCAATTCAGTGAGTATTTTTGTATGCATCCTTCTTGAATGACAGTTATTAATTCTAATTATCTGAAAGGAGGGTATAAATTCTCAAAATTTATCAGATTTTGATTTTTCCAGTCATTACCGATATCATCGTTACAACCTCATGCTGTAAATCAAGCTGACCACCGTGTCACAAATTATATCAACTATCTGGGCCCTAAATCTACTGAGAGATGAGTTCCTAATGTTTCACCCACGGCATCTGCGCAGAGCTGAGGGTAGTGGGGGCAGTAAGGATGCGTCTCCACAGGATTAGGATTTGGACCTCAGCATCTTTTTGCCTGACCCAAATGTCCCACACCTCCTTCTCAAACTGGACGAGGCGCTTATGTAAAGAAATTCTCTGCTCATGGATATTCAAATTGGGCGAGCCTCTGGTGGTAAATACAGAGCTGTCCACACCCAACAACGGCACATAATCTTTGTCCTCTCCACAGTCACTGAGCATGCAGGTCTTCACCATGGGATGGAGCTGGATCATCCTCGTCCTCCTGTCAGCGACTACAGGTAAGGTATTTACAGTTACAAGCATGAGGAGGAGACAGGGACTGAGAGGGCAATGATACCCACTCTGCTTTTTTTACTCCAAAGGTGTCCACTCCCAGGTCCAGCTGCAGCAGTCTGTTACGGGACTGGGGAAACCTGGGGCGTCAGTGAAGCTGTCCTGCAAGGCTTCAGGCTTCACCTTCACTGAATACTTTATTACCTGGGTGAAGCAGAAGCCTGGACAGGGCCTGGAGTGGATTGGATGGATTTATCCTGGAGATGGTGGGACCTACTACAATCAGAAGTTCCAGGGCAAAGCCACACTGACTGCAGACACATACTCCAGCACAGCCTACATGGAGCTCAGCAGCCTGACATCTGAGGACTCTGCAGTCTATTACTGTGCAAGAGACACGGTGTTGTAACCACATCCTGAGTGTGTCAGAAACCCTGGAGGAGCAGGAGGGTGATGTGGGACTGAGATGACAGAGAAGATCAGCCTGGCAACTTGCTCAGAAATAAGCAGGCTGAGTTTCCCTTTGTCACTATAACATTCCTACCAACTTCTCAAAATTACGACTGCGCATGAGCAATGCTGATTTAGGATGCCCTAGTGTACACCATACACTGACAATCTCTTCACCACTCAACACCCTTATTGACATTTTTCTTCATTAATGAAACAATGAAGGTAAACAGTATGCTTATGCATTATGGGAAGAATCTCAGGATTCTATGAAACTGGGACATTTGTTGGTGTAGCTTTTAATAAACTAAAATATAAGTTTGCTCAGTAAAGTCCAAATAATAACATGTGGGCAAACAGGAATCTTTTCAAGTCTGAAACCTTACATGACATCAGGGATATTGCGGTTAAATAAGGATTAGGATAAACAAATAGGCCGAATAGATGCTTATTCAGGGAGAAATAACTTACAACCTAGACAGATGAACACCAGCAATTTCCACCGGATGCTCTCCTATCCATGTCCCGCCAGCAAGAGAGCGTTGCCCGGCTCCTCCTCAGACCTCCTTCCACAGGTCACTTCCACCCCTGGCTCTACCCCCAATGGGCATGGTCAGTGCCACAGACAAAGTGAATATCCCACTACAATTCTCCTTTTATTCTGAAGAAAAGATCTGGGCTTGATACAAAACTATATACAAAACCGTGAATAACAAGTGTGCTCAGAAAAGGAAATTCGAGAACAAAACGACCTACATATTTAGTCCTAGGTTGAAGGCATAACGGAGTTTACAATAGAGTTTTCCTAAGCTGGAAAACTTAAGTCTGGTATCTAATATATCTAACTAGGAAGAGAGAATAATAATTGCGATAGTTTAATCTTCACCCTCATCAAGACCTGACTGAGAAGGAAAATAACGATATTAGGGTTTACAGGAAGTGCGGATGGGCAACTTCCAAAAGGTGCAGCGAGGACAGAAACAGCAAGTTACCTGGACAGTCACCCTAGGTCTCACAGCAACGTTGATACACCCAGTTTTGGCTAAGGCCAAGAGAACTTGACAGACCACAACAACAGCAGGGAGGTAGAAAGGCCGTCTTACCCAGACTTGGAAAGGTTCAGCAGTTTTCTATATTTGTCTCCTGCAAGCACATAGGGCCGCATGTCCAAATCAGTGGTCAAGGTGGGGGCAGTTCTTTGCCCAAGAGTCCATTAGCTAAGGCGAGAATGAATTCCAGCAGGAGCAATAACAGTGTCCAACATATTTTCGGGAAAGTGCATGGTGCTGTCAGGAGCAACAGTGTCTCATGTCAACAGAGTACTAATATTAAAACATTTAAATGCCATGTTCTGCATGTCTATGAAGTGCTTGAAGATTAAGCATCTATGTCTGACTAATCTCATAGGTAAAGGAAACATGAGTGAAGATAATCTGTAATACTCAGGAACTTAGCTAAAATATTGAATGAAACTTTCCTGAGTAAAGCAGGGACAAATACCTAAACAATATAACTATGTACATATACATACATATAAAGGCCTAAAATGGAGGTAGAGCAGAAATGTCAAGACAAGAGGTAGAAGTATAACGGGCAGCATGATAAATATCCCAAATGGTATCAATATACAAAATGTCTTGAATACAAGAAAAAGATACAAACATAGAATATGGTAAGAATAAATGTGCATAAAACATCATAAGTAGAAAGATTTCACACAATATAACAAAATATAATATACAATTCTTCCAGGAAGGGAATATAAACTTAATTTTACATAACTTACCACAAATAAGAATATATAACAATGTAGCTGTAAAATAGTATTATCTCACTCTTACTCAATAATTCTCAAGAAAATAGGCTAATCTACCTATATCCCATCTAAACCATATCTTTCCCAACCATACCCTATTCCTGTCTATAGGATAAACCAGAGTCTAAGCATCACCTTTCATACCCGACACTAATTAACTAAAACCAACCCAAAGAAGATGAATATTATCCCCAAATTCCAAGGTTAGGGAAAGAGGGTATCTTAGGGTTACTTTCTGTTGAAATGGGACGATGATTGCTTCATGGGATCCTGTAGGAAGAAAATTTTTATTAACCAAATTTCTCAATAGAACTGGCTGTGACATATGTAGCTTGTTACTGTGTGGCAGAAAATACTTGACTGTAGTTTGAAACTCTGACCAGGGTGTAATAAGAAGGTGCACTGTTACAGTCAGCTAGTCATGAGTTGTCTCGAGCAAAACAGTCTCAAACCAGTTTTAGGGTGATGTTTGTAGTCCAGATAGATGCATTAGGTTGAGTCAAGTGGAAATGATGACATGGGAAATGATGACTCTTCTTTCCGGAGAGTTCAAAGATTGCTGTTAGGAATTGTTATTATTCCTTGTGGAAAATTTAAACATCAATATTAAAGTAAAAGTTTTAAGTTTTAAGGTATTCATCAGGGAAAGGCAACAATAAGCATTAAAACATATATGAGAAAATTAGGATTTCAGAGAGAAAATTGTGTATAAGAACTGAGTCCCCAGATTTTGTTTTCTTCTGCCTTACACCAATTGGCTTTTTGATTTAAGGCAGAAACCGTGAATTTAATCTTAACAACATGCTTGAATTTAGAGAAGGAAAGCCAAGTCCAACTCCAAAGCAAGTATTGGTTTACATGAATTGGCACTACAGGAATACTAGATAATAAAGAGAAATAGATTTCTGTATAGGAATAGTTTACTTGAATTAAATATTTTTTACCATAAATCAGATTTCTCTTCATTAAGTGATTGTTTCTGGGGAGCGGTCTTTTCTTCTGTAGGTACCTATATGTTTAGTGCCTTTTGGCTGTTTGAAGATAGGTTTTCTCTGTTTTCATGTAAGAACAAGAACAGAACACTTCCCCTACCTTTGAGGGGTCTCTGCACATCTCATGGGACCTAATTTGTTGGATAATTTGTCATTTCTCTTCATTAAGATGTTTCTCTTGTTTAACTTGGATCTTGATTAACTTAGATGGTATCCATAGTTTTTCTTCTCGTGTAGATACAAATGCAAAACCCCTACCCCCACGTAACACATATCCTGGTTTCCATTCTGAGTTCAATACATCCTTGAAGTACACTGGCCGATTTAGTTCAGAAGTTCCAGTTTCTTAGACTGTGAGATATGTATCAAAATGCACTGTCGTACAAGTATAAATGCTGTGAGTTGTTAAAGGGTATTTCTAAATTACTTATCACAATAATAGTTAATGAAATCAATGTGTGTACATGTTCATTAAGGTAGGTTCTGAGATCATATATTAATCTTTATTAATATTAATATTTACTTTCTTTCCAGTGTCAGAAACCTGCCCCACAGTCTCAAGCCTTTACAGAACATGGACTTGTACTGATACACCATCAACTCTCAGAGGTGGTGATCACTGTTATACTCAGAGTTTGGATTAAGGCCTGGTAGAGAACTTGTAGACACCATTGTGCTGGCTATCAACTCAGCTTATCATCAGTGCTGATTGCTACAGCTAGAGCCAACAACACCAGAGTACAGACTGTGTTTCATGGATCTGGAAACAAGTGGGGCACAGCTCACCCTTCATCCTGTTGTTCATTTCCAGAACTTTTTTTTTAAAAAATAGCATTATAATTTATGCTTCTCTTACTCCATAGTCCACTTTTGAATACTCACAGTATCCATGCTTTGATTTGTTGTGTCATGTGGATTCTATATCCTCTACAGATGTAGGATTACTTATGTTTCAGCCTCCTTACTTCAATGTCTTTCTTTTTAAAAATACACATGCATTTATTTTTATTTATTGATTAATTTAACAAATTGCTGTTTCTCATCTTTCTTCTCCTCCAAATCAATCCCCATTTATTTCCTGATTCCATATCCATTCCTCCATTTCTCTTCAGTGGAGGGCAGGACTCCATGGATTTTCAACAAAACATGACATGTGAAGTTGATAAGGTTAATCAGTGTGAGGAAAAGCTCCCAAAAGCTGGCAGAAGAGTCAGAGACCACCCCTCCTGCTCCCACTTTTAGGAGTCTCACAAGAAGACCATACTATGCATCTGGCTCATACATGCAGAGGCCCTAGGTCAGCCCACACAAGCTCTGTGGTTGTCAGTAAAGTCTCTGTGAGCTCTTCCCAGCCCATGTTAATTGATTCCTTTGTGTTTATTTATTTATTTTTTGTGGTTGTCTTGACCCTTCTGGCTCCTACAATTCTTCCTCCCTGTCTTCTGCAGAATTCCAGAGTCTGCCTAATGTTTGCCTGTGGGTCTCTGTATCTGTTACCATCAGCTGCTGGATGAAGCCTTTCTGTTGACAGCTGGGCTTGGCACCAATCTAAGAGCATAGCAGAAGATCATTAGGAATCACTTCAATGATCTTTTTCCAGTCGTGTTTGGGTTTATTCTAGGGCTCAGAGCTATCCATCCTCTGGTCCTCACCTTCCAAGCATTGTCCGGGGTGGGCATGGGTCTCAAACTGGACTAGTTGTTGTTTGAGCACTCCCTCAATTTCTGTGGCAACTGTACAGTAGGACATCTTGTAGCCAGGAAAAACTGTAGGTGGAGGTTTTGTGGATGGGTTAGTATCCCAGACTGTCCAATAAATGTCTTACCTGGTTACAGGAGATGGCCAGTTCAGGTTCTGTATCCTCGGTTATTATTTAGATTTTTTTCTGCCTTCTCCTCCTCCTTTTTTTCTTTTGAGCTTTCAGGTTTAGTGTTAAGTCTTTTGTGTGAGAATTATCTAATGCCTTCATTCAGGCAAGTCGTGCTATGAATTTTCTTTTTATTACTCCTTCCATCGTGTCCCAAACTTTGGATGTGCTGTGCATTCGTTGTCATTGAGTCTAGGAGGGGGTCTTTCATTTCTTACTTTATTTCTGCCTTGGCCCAGTAGTCATTCAGTAGGAGTTTTTTTTGGTTTCCATGAGTTTGTAGG